GCCTCACAGAGGACTTGCTGAAGAAACAAAGAACCAAATTTTCAAATTGCATAAATAACCTAAAATAAAAAAGAAATGTAATTGATAAAATAAAATTATATCTTAAGATTCTCAGGACATTGTGYGGCTGATTTCTGTGAATAGACTCCATGTCAGAGAGGTAGTTAAATACAACTGTTTTTAAGTCCCTTGAGTAACGATGCTGAAGATGAACTTTGCATAATTTTGAAGTCACACTTCTGTTACAGAACTTGTACACAGCCAAACTGTTTAGAAAACAATTGATCCTGTCCCAGTTTTTAAYTAAAGGACTGTTTCTCTCTTCCTTAGTGAAGAGGTTGTTTGATCTTTTAGTGCTGCTCTTTCTGCAGGGTTGAGAAAAGCTGTGAACAGACTGTCACAGAAAAGTGGAGACTCATGGCAGAGCTGCTGCACTTTGTTTCAGCAGGAAAGGAAACATCTGCACACACCACTTTGTCCCAATGAACAGCAATTTTCTGATTAGAGTGGAGAGATTGACTGATTGAGAGAGGATGAGGACACCTGTCCAATCCTTCTCACCACAGGGCCAGTCGAGCCAGTCGAGCTGACTTTAGAGGCAGAAAGGAAGTCTAACACAAGGCCTGTCTGTGAATGGATCACATTATTAAGCCATTAACTCCTCCAGTCTGATGTTCATTTTAGTAAACAAATTTTCTTTTTCCTGGCAAATATCCCTGTGTGCTGGCAGTGGCTGATTGTCACTACCTCAGCACACTTTAATACATAAATTAACAAAAAAAATTTATTAGTTTGAAATGTTAGTCTTTGCTCTCTTTTATCTTAGAAATTTCTCATGTAGAGAGTCGATTAACTTATTTTTCTGCACATAAGATATTGTCACAGTGTATGTTCTATGAAATGATTTTGAGTGTTATTGAAGTAAATTTTGGTGATTCAAAACCWATTTTTAATTCAAATCTGTATTTAATGCAGTCTTTTCCCCAAATTGCATCAATAGATACTTCAGTAAATTCATTTTTTGTTTTCCTTTTTTCTTTCTTTTTCTTTCTTTGCTTGTGGTTGTCCTTTTTTCCCATCATTGGACAACCAGCTTGGTGCCTGGTAAAACAGCATGCAACTTAGATCATGCTGTCAGAGAGATGAAAAGGTTTTTAGAGATTCTTTATTGTTAAGAAGAGGTCTGGTCAGGTTGGAAGCCCAGCTGTATTTCCTTTGTGATGTGCTTCAGAAGAGCAGCCTGTAACGGTGCTGTCAGAAAACTGAGCTCATACTTTGATTTGCAGACCACAGTGGCTTTTGTGTAGGATCAGTGTTTTTGTTGTGTGATCCATTTGTCCTGGTGTGCCATGGCAGGTGGGCCGTGTAAATAGGCAGCACGGGGATTTAAGTTTGGCTCAATCCACACTAATCTCATTGTGCTGTGGGTCATTTGTGAAAACACTGAAGGAACCTAATGAGCCTCTGTTTTATTACACTGCTTGGTTTCTAATACCTTGTTTTGTTTTTCAGTTCTCCTGTTGTGGAGGGGATGAATATAAAGACTGGGGTGTCAATCAGTACCATTTTTGCAATGGGACTGGTCCACTAGCCTGCGGGGTTCCATACACCTGTTGTGTTCGACGTAAGGTGAGTGCTGGTGACACACATACTCAGAAAAAACAAACATCAGTACCAACACTTTGTTTTCTTCTTTGGAGTAGTATTAAGACTTGAGTTCCTTTCTTTTTGGTTTAAATWAATAAAATAATAATTGGCTACTTTCAGATTTGGGTTACAAACAACCTTTCTGGTAAAAAAAAAAAAAGTCAAAGTTTGATCAATTCAAAACAAAACYAACCAGACTTCTAATCTGTAGTTTTTATTCTGCTCTCAAATTATTTAGTTTTAAACTGTTTGACTTTAATTTACCATGTCCTGAATGACTGAAAATCTACATCAGCATTAGTCACAGATGGAGGTTCGTGTCTATTCACATAGAAATGGGAATTCCTAAAACATGATTATTCATCAAGATTAAGACTCAGTTAACATGAATTATAATCAGAAAAAAYAATTAAATGTATCTTTTCAGATTAAAAGGTTGTAAATATGTTATTGATAAGTTGAAAAGGTCAGTGTTTTAATAATTTAAATCATAGGTTTAATTAGACACGAATGGCTTTGATTTAGTCTGATTATTATTTGGTAACTATGAACACTTTGATTTAAATTTCTGATGCTGTAAATAAATTAAATTTGCCTGTATTGTTTTGTTTTTAAAGTGCCTGCAACATGCATATTCTTCAAATACAAAAACTTAACACATTTATATGTAAGGAACTTGGCATAAATACACATTTTTACCCATTTTGTCACATAACTGTCATACTTTCTTTTGAACTTGGCTCAGCTAAAGTGAGACAGGAAGTGACATCAAATTCTTTAAGAAAACTATTTAAGAAACGATCTTGGTTTATTGAAACATTATTTTAACCCTGACTTCATCATTCTGATAGAGACTCAAAATAATCTAAAGAAACATCAGATTCTTCTCTAGAGTCTGTGTTGTTAGACATTTTAGTWACACTCTGTTCACATGCAGACATTCCCCTTTGACATCACTTCCTGTTACTTCACATGCAAATATATCAACTGTTCATCTCAACGACATGAAATTTGTTTTGCAATATGTTATAAATGTTGTCTTTTCAAAAATGCATTTGTTTTTGTTACAAAAATTAGATGTCACATGCACTTTAAGTGTTTCATTTTTGAGAAAATTTTGATGCGAATTTACCTGTGAATAACTGAACATATTTGTAAATATGTAGAAACCTTTAAACATTATGATAAATAATAAAATGATTAGAAATGTTTGGGCTGTGAAAGCTCGGTGTGTTAACCTAACCCTAGGTTGCATCAGGAAAGACATTTGGAATAAAACAATTGTCAAAACTCTCTTGTAAGTTTATTCATTGGGACAACATAAACAATCAGGACAGATCATGCTGAGATGTGAAGAACTCACATTTCTTAGAAAGATGAAAACAAATCTGGAAGGAAGATGACACACTAAAAGTTTAGGATCATTAAAAGACAAGCTGCAAGACTCAAACAAAAAGAAAAATCAACACATTTTCTGGTCTCATGAGTGCAGTGTACAAGCAGGAGTCCTCAGCTCCTTGAAAGTAGCAATTTTTTCTTTTGCCATTGGCATGTGTAGGTACACAAGATGATTGCACATGTGTGTATTATGTGCAGGTACAAAAGATGATTGCACATGTGTGTATTATGTGCAGGTACAAAAGATGATTGCACATGTGTGTAAGTGTGCAGGTACAGAAGATGATTGCACATATCTGTAAGCGTGCAGGTAGGGAAGATGATTGCACATGTGTGTAAGTGTGCAGGTACAGAAGATGATTGCACATGTGTGTGTTAGTGTGCAGGTACAAAAGATGATTGCACATGTGTGTGTTAGTGTGCAGGTACAAAAGATGATTGCACATGTGTGTAAGTGTGCAGGTACAGAAGATGATTGCACATATGTGTAAGCGTGCAGGTAGAGAAGATGATTGCACATGTGTGTAAGTGTGCAGGTAGAGAAGATGATTGCACATGTGTGTGTTAGTGTGCAGGTACAAAAGATCATTGCACATGTGTGTGCGTGTGCAGGTACAAAAGATGATTGCACATGTGTGTGTAAGTGTGCAGGTACA